AGACGGGCGTCTCGAGAACCTCAGAACTTTAGTATACCGAGAACAGTCACGATGTCTCTGATTTCTTGAAAACTTTCACGTATGCATACTAGGAGGCTAAGTCGAGTGTAAACTTCGGTCGCTTATAGAACTCGGAAACTAATTATCTAAGAATTGATCCTTCATTCAGCGATATCATTGAAGTAGGTTTATAGTATGTGAGCTAGTTCGGCTAGTTGATTGTGAGCAGGGACACTGATAAAAGGCACAAATCTTGGTTACCATTATATTAAGTCTTTACGTACCCAGGCTATGAAATGGATATATTGATGATCTTGATGTCCTCCTCGGGCTTCTCCTTGTATACCCTCGTGTTCTCAATCTTATGGATGACGTCAAGGCCTTGAACGGCCCTACCAAAGATTGTATGCTTATTATCTAACCAAGGCTAGAGAAAACATCAGCAAGGGAAAGCTCTGGCAGCTAGGAGCGCAGCAAAACTTACCGTCTTCTCCGTTGTGATAAAGAACTGCGAGCCATTCGTGTTCGGACCCGCGTTCGCCATGCTGACGGTATAGGGCTTGTCATGCTTCAAGGTAGAAAATTCATCTTCAAACTCTTTCCCCCAAATACTTTCACCACCTGTCCCATCACCCAAGGGATCACCTGTTTGAATCATGAACTTTCGTATCACACGATGAAATATGATGTTGTTATAGTAACCGTTTCTTGAATGTGTGACAAAGTTCTCAACGGCCTTTGGTGCGGCTTCGGGGAATAGTCGGATATGTATATCTCCATATGTAGTGTGAATGATAGCAGCTGTGCCAGTCTCTGTTGGTTTGGCCTCGACCGCCTGCTTTGCGTTGATTTTACGCGGTTTCTCATTTTGAATATCTCGTTCTGACTTGGAAATACTGCTGGAAATTAGTATTGGGATATTCAGGGTTAGTTCCTCAAAAACTTACTTTTCATCGTTTGTAAACATATAGAACCGGACCTTGCCTGATCCAGTGGATACAAGCATAGCATCACGCGCTTCAGCCTCCTGAAGAAGCGGATTATCACTCGCCGCCATAGCCACAGTAACCACGCCTTTCTTCTCAGGCTGTCCCTGATATAAGGTAAGATTCAATGTGCGGAATGGTTCCTCCTTCCCGTACACCTTCACCACACGATTAGTAAGGGTGTTGATGACTTTAGTTCCTAGAATGGAGCCATAAAGGATGAAATGGCCTGTCTCGTCAAATATGACATTAATACGATTTTGAACTGCTGGACTTTCTAGCTCTCGCTCTATGGCAAGCCTGCGCCCAAACTCAACATCATCAAGCTTTTGGATAGCAGTTCCAGCCTGCTGCATCTCCGTGATAGTTGCTATTGACTCATCATACGTTCTGTAAAGTTTACCGGAGGCGAAGTCAAAGACCCGGACTTTACGGTCCGGAAAGGAGAACGTTGCAAATTGAGAACCAGTAGGAGATATGGTGATAGACGATGGAACGGATTTGGCCTGGCTTTGATCAGTCATTGAAATGCTTACAAAACGTGATGTTTTTACCTTTTTGAATTCGAATAAGTTCGTCGAGCTCTTCATGGCGAAAACATTATCGGGCTTCTCATAGTTTTCGCCTGGCTTCCAATATTCAAGCATGCCTCCTTCATCAGCCGAAATGACACAGTCATAGTCGTTATTATACGCCATTAGCGACACTGGACTCCTATGTAAGCTCTTAATAATATGCAGTGGCTGCTGGTTTTCTCCTCGGCCATCGTATATTTTTATCCAAGAGTTTTCCTCAGAAGAGACAGCCAACAATGGAAAGGATGCGCCCCGGCGATGTACCCAGCAGACGCATTTGGACATATAATCGAGGTTGAGAATTGCTAGTAGGTCTAGGGTAAATGTTAGCATTATAATCCACCTCCAGTGGCATTCGTTGACAAACCAAAGGTTATCACGTCAAAGATCTTGACGGTCTTATCTGTGCTAGCCGTAGCAAAACTCCTCCCGTCTGCACTGACGCTCACACTTTTTATCTCCCCATTATGCGCTCTAAACTCCTTTACGAATTCAATTCCTCCAAAATCCTTCTTCCAGAATTTTACAACACCATCAATGGATGAAGTAATCAGGAAGTCGGTAAGCGGTGTAAAGGTGGTGAAGCATAGCTGGTCCCTATGCATGAGCGACTTCGAGTAACGGGCACTCGTAGGTAGAGCTGCAATGTAAAGCTTCTCGTAAGGAAGCTTGCGGCGCTTCTTTTTTGGAGCTGTGGAGGGAAGGGCAGGACCAAAATCATCATCATCTGAGGAGGTGTCTGGATACAGGATTAGCAAGTCTGGGAGAATTGTAGCAAGTCACACATACCGTCGTCTGGTGATTTATCGATGGGCTTCTCATCTACTTCCATTTCTGACCGTGACCGCTTTGCCGGGCTTACTGATGCCAACCCATCAGTCTCCATTGTTCCTGCTGGCATATGGAAACAACCCTTAAAAAGAGTCTTAGTGTCGGAGAGCTGGCGAGGTTTCACAATCGAGAATGATCGCAAAGGTGATGTTGTCGCGAAAATTACACGGTCACGTGCAGACAGAATGTTTGTATATTTCAAGAGATCGTATCCTGGAACTTGACGCTTTAACGCACGGAATGCATGCCGTTACCAATATTTGAAGCTTCTATAACTTGCTTAATCCCTGCAAAAGAAGTCTCCACATCGAAAGGCTCACCTCCGTCGGCTTAATGATCCTCCACCTCCGCCTCCGCATCTTGAACTTTTCTGCCTGAGCTCTCTAGCTACAACAAATCTCTCATTAACAACAATCGCCCCATTTGAGGCACTCTATGGCAGTATGGCACCTCCCACAAAACGCCGGAAAATCTCTGCTGTTGAGGAGATAACCTTTGACCCTGCCGCACGCGAGGAATTCCTCACAGGCTTCCACAAACGCAAGCTAGCGCGAGCAAAGCACGCACAGGAAGAGGCTGCTAAAAAGGAGCGGGAAGAGAGAGTCAGACAGAGAAGAGAGGTACGATTCTTCTGTAGACCCGAAATCCCCCAGAACGAGTCCCTTAGATCCTGGAAGTGCATAGAGAACGTTCGTAGGGCCTGTCACTAATACATGTTATAGTTGAGGCAACAACGGAAGGAAGACCTGGAGCGACATGTTCAGGAGGTTAATGCACTACTGAGGAAGGCGAATGGTGACCTTGGCGAAGAAGGAGAAGATGAGGAGGACGAGGCAGCGGACGGGGAAGGCCCGGAAGAAGAGTGGATCGGATTTGAGGAGCCAGCGGAGATAAATCGAGAGGAGGAGTACATTGACGAGGATAAATATACTACTGTTACCGTGGAGACTGTTGATATATCGAAGAGCGGGTTTGTCAAGCTAGAGCAATCTGGATCAGATGAGGATTCAAAGGGTAGGGAGGAAACTGCGGTTGGATCGAAGTCACAAACTTCAAACAAGCGGATATGGACTAAGGAGAAGCCTTCGAAGGACAGACCAAAGAAGAAAAAGAAGAAGTTCCGATATGAAAGTAAGGCGGATCGTAAGGTCACAAGATTAAAGGAGCGATCGAAAAATAGAGACCAAGCAAAAGCTCGTCGAAGTTAGTGCTTGCTGGGTCGAGTATGGTAACGACCCTTTCGATTATTGCATTTGCATCGATGCAGTAGTCGTCCAAAACAGAAGTAACAGACCGCCATAACCACGAGTGCATGCTTGCCGTTGACAAAGGGGATAGCTACGGACAACGCGCTGTAACGCAGTCTTGATCAAGCTCTAACAGGAAGAAGCAACCACAAAAATAATATAAAGGGAATCCCCGCTATAGCCACGCCCATGCCCATGCTCACTAAGCCCATGGAAGAAAATTAAATGTTTCCAATCTCGGCCACGAAGTCGTTCAACTCCTTCTTGGTGTCAGCGTACTTCTTAGCCATCTCCTCGTATTTAGCCTCCCACTGGTCCCGAGATGCCTCTAGAGCTTGTACTTTCCGTTCGTAATGGCCAGACTTGACGTCGGTCTGGCGGAGCCTGAAAGTATGAGTGTTAACCCAAGTTTGGTGATAAGAAACCACGGGAGAAACTCTCTCAGGGTATAAGAATAGTGAGAGCATACTTTTCATTGAGTTCCCGAATAGTCCGATCGGACTCCTCGGCCTCCTCCTCAAGTAGTTGTAACTTGCGCTGTAGGCTCTCAGCTTGACTACCGGCTTGCGAACTCGAGTCGGCACGCTCTTTATGCTCTTTGATCTGGCCTTCGAGTTTCTCTACGTCGGCTTCAAGTACCTGATTCTTGTGTTGTAAGGAAGTGATTTCCTGCTCCTTGGAGAGATTTTCGGTTTCAAGGGCCTTGACTTTGGCCTTGAGCTCTTCGACTTTGGCAGCGGAGTCGTCAGCCTCTAAGCGGAGGGCGTTCATGCGCTGGGAGACGAGTTAGCCTAATCACTCTTTTTTCCCTCGTGAACATCCTATTTGAAGTGAGGTAATTTCTGGGCGGCTTCAAGAATTTGGGTAGACGCATGAGGAGTGCATGGAGGGGTAGTTTTTAGATAACTCACCGCCTTGATTGCGTCCATGATTGATTGTAAAATTGGTTATTTGCTAGTTAGGTTGAGGAAAGCTTATAAGATAGTGCACCAGGTTATGAGAGGAGGAAAAAGTTTCCTTGGTGTGTTATTATTATTGGAGGAGTTTGGACGAAGACATCGGTGTGTTCTAGTTGCGGCGTTTTGAGTTGTCGCGCTTGTCTTGGCACCCCTCGCACGTGCATGTGAGTTGGGCCCCACACTGTCCCATTTCTCCAGCAACCCGCAATGCAGCATAGCTATCTGTTCACGGTATAAAAGATTAGCGTAAGGCTCGGATGTCCTAAACAGTAGACGGAAGGATGAGCCTTCAGCAAAACTAGGCTTTAGGTGAACCATCAAGAGCCCAAAAAAAGCTACCCAAGTGTATCTTACATTGGATGAGTTCAAGAATCCCCCTCACTCCTTGAAGGGGCAAAAAAATGTCGCTTCTGTGGATCGAACACAGTACCTCCAGATTCCCTCTGAACACAGATTATAAACCGAAGTGATAGGCTTCAGTCTGGCGCTCTCCCAAGTGAGCTAAAGCGACTTGATGAATGTGGCACAAAATAAGTGTATAAAAGTATGCTCATGTCAAAATATCTCCATGGTTACCTCAGGAGGCTGACCCCACTACGGTTCCACTGCGGCTCGAGACAGCAGCCCCCAGCCGCTAGATCCAGCCCAACGCCTAGGCAGCCGCTAGGCCCTAAACAGAGAACGCAGCTATCCACGCATAGAAATAAAAATCCCTAAATAACTTCCTTAATTAATGCTTGAAGTTGCTCAACGGCATTTAGTGTTACCATAGGTTATTATGAATTAGATTATCAAATAGGTCATCCTAAGTTTTCCATCTACAAATTTAGGCAATCAAGCTGAAACCAAATATATCATGCAGTATAAACAAGGCTTAGAATTTAATTCTTCTTTTCTCACTTCGTAACCAAAATTTATGCATCGAGTTTTCTAGGTGCGGGACATTCAATGGGGTATTGGCTAATGCAAAACTCGACTTTACGGCTATGAGAGTTTAAAACCTAACATATTGGCTATTTTTAATCGTTCAGCAAGACGAATTGCGAAACTAGTGTTTGGACTCAAAAGCATTCTGGAAGCATCGCGGATACCGCCCGTGGGAAAGCTTCACATAATATATTGACTCGACTTAAGAAGTTTGCTATACAATAGGTAATAGGCTCTAGGCTCTAAGCCCGAAGATATAGGAACCGAAGAATTTATAACAAGGACAGTGAGTTATGTTGAAATTTAAAAGTAACTGTTGGTTGTTATGAGAGAGTCTGTGTATATGTATTATGAGTGTTAGAACACAATTAATTCGCCACAGTATAATAGCATGATGCCATGGTCAAGGGACAGTTTCGAAATGTTTGGCGAAATAGTATTCAAATGAATGGTTATATAGTTATGTTCTGCTTTTTGGTTCTGGCAGGCGATGAAACTCGAATCTCTTCCGGGATGGTTTGTCCGCCCCGGCGTTGTCCCCTTGGCAACAACCAACCTCCGAGTAAACAACATAACGACAACACTGCCAACAACCGTCAACACTTCTAGCTCACAAACGATTCTCAATGTGATCAAGCAGAATGGAACTGCTCGCCGCAAATGATCAAGAAAACCTAGTGCACAGTCTCCAGACAGCTGCCACTGGGAAACAGCTTAACAATGGCCTGAAAGGGTTCGGATCAAAGACTCCAGGGAACAAACCCCCAAAGACGCCATTCAAAATCCCGTTAAACGATGAAAATGCGCCTTTCAAAGCTGGGAAGTCGGTCCTTGGAACAACTAAAAAGGCCAATCGAGACATCTTGACCGGAGGGAAGAAAGGCGGGGATCTTGACAAGAATGCTTTTGTTACTCCAGCCGGTATGAACTCTATACATGCGGAAAACGAATCGTCGGGGAATCACATTAGCTGATAGATTAACAGGCCCACGCACTCGAGCTCCCTTGGGTATGAAAACGACCAATGCGAAGACCAAAGCCTTCGAGACTCCTGCGCCCTTATCTGGATCTGCCAAAACTCAGAAGAAGACGAGTCCCCGCCTCCGCCGACCGAAAGTCAAGATTCACCAAGCAGAACCCGTTAAAGATGATGCCTTGGAAGGGGAAAGGGAGATCGAGTATATGCCCCCAAGAGGAATTCGTAAGTCTGGATATGGTATTATAATCTGCGAAGGCTAATAACTTGTAGCTCTCCCTGATGAGCCCGAAGACTGGCCTTCTGATATGAAGTATCCGATGCTCGAAGGCGCCAACTTTACCCGTGGCATCTACTCAACCTACTTTAACCCGGTTGGGGACGATGGCCTCACGCGTTCCGAACGAGAAGACCTCGAACAGAAAGCGAAAGAGGACAAAAAGAACGAGGATATTATGCAAAAAGCCCTGGACGATATGTTCAAAGAAGTCGAGAAATCAGTCGCTGAAGGTTTACTCGGCAAGAAAAAGGATAGTACTATAGAGGAACGAGAGAATAGCCGGAAGGCGCCACCCGCCCGCAAACCACTGGCTTCCAAAGCTCCCTCAACCGTCGACTCTAAATCCGCCGCAGCCGCTCTCTCCCCACTCCCGAAATCCGATTTCGCCGCTCCTACCACAGCTATCAAGTCTCGTCTTCCATCTCGCCTCGTCTCAAGTAAGAAGCCTATGCTTATGAACCCCTCCGTAGCCCGCCACGCTGCAGCAACAACGGCTTCTCGCACCACGATTGGTTATTCCCAAGGTCGTATTGCACCATCTTCCACACGTAAGCCCTTATCCAACCTCGTGAGGAACGCTCCCGCGAGCACAGTGTCCAACACGCGGGGGCGCGCTATTAGCACGCCCGCAGTGCCCTCATCACGCGGTCTATCGCGTGCATCCTCTGAAGCGACCATTACACCTGGCCGCTTTGCTAAGAATGACTTCACCTATGAGGCTGAGGATGAGCTGTTGGAGAAGATGCAGCATGCCAACTTCGACGAGGTAGACGACGAGGATTTGGAGGATTGCATGCGCGGGTACATGCCAGCATCTTTGTTGGATGATGATGAGTACGACGACTTCAGGCTGGAGGTTCCCGTAATTTGAGGGGTTGATGGAGTGATTGCTGGAGAAAATTGAGGTCGAACTGGTCAGGGTTTCTCTCTGGAAACTTGAACTAGCGTTCGTCGGTGTTTTGGCGCTTTAGGACTATTGGATAAAGCAGACTTGGCATTGTAAGCGGTGCTTCACTCCTGTTATTCTGTATAATATTCAATAAGGAGAATAGGTTTTAAGCTTTTTTTTGCGTGTTTTGTCGGGTAATTTGTGATTTTTATATCCTGCTACATTCGTATCTAATGCTTGCCTTCAATGTGCATCCTCATAGAAATCAGGAATATATGTTAAGTAGAGAGCAGTAGCATGAGGGGTACTCTCAAAGTCCTCGGATTGTTTCCATTTAACATCACATAGTCTGCGTCAGCCGTACTATGTAGCTATTGTCGGTTCTATAGATGATTGCTCTTGTCGTATAGCAATGCCCAGAAAGGGGAACATGAAGAATCCGCGATAGTCTGGCGAATTTGCATAAGGAGGGCGACTCATTATGTTCGGTACGGTTCAAATATCCCACTATCTCATTGATATTTTGACTTTCGTCTTCCAATATCCTGTTTAGACCCAAACCCCTCGCTATGATTACGTAGAGCAGCCGTCGATGCATGCGACGTTTGACCCAAAGCCGAAAGACCAGAGCGAAACGCGAAAGCAGCTAGTCGAGCGCCTCAAGCTCAAAGAGCAAAAAAACCCTGAAAATGTAGTCAACCCAAGTCCGTCCGAACCAGAAAATCAAGGCGGGCACACGTATGCAGAATGCAACTGCGGCACACACCTTCACAACATAGACTGTGCCGGCCCTAAAAAATGATGAGGGATGAACGCCGCGGTACGCCATGGATCGCCATGCTGAAACCCGATGATAAAATAATGAGGCAAAATAAGGCAAAAAATAAGGCAAATGGTGTAAAATGTGCCAACGGGCCGCGACCAAGAATAATAGATACGAGGGATAAATGAGGGATGAATGAGGCATAAAACGTAAGGCGACATAGCAGCGTATATCTGAGACACTAAAAGGATATGTGGGAGTGAAGCTGCAGATGAGTCCCTTTCTATCCTATTGATAGTTGCCTAACAGCAGTCTGCTAATATTACTATCCTGCTGATCATTCATCCTGTGCATAGAGATTCTGGTTGAGGATCTTGTTCATGGTGAACATGTGCACACGGTCTTGCTTGAACACGGCTCGCATTGCCTCGTCACACCGGATCTGGCGCTTATCGTTGGGGTCTTGCAAGTCCCTTTCTTTTACGTATTTCCAGATTTTCTTGACTGTTTGAGGGCGAGAGAGCTATTTTTATGTTAGTAGGCAGATAACAAGTTTGGATGAAACGAGCGGTTTTGTAAGATCCTGTTTTGAAAGGTAAAGCCATGACGAATATGACTAAAATCATAACTCACACTGGTCTCGCCTAAGAGTTCTGATAGTGCCGGAGAGAGCGTCATCGGTTTCTGTATAATAGGAAAGCAGTCAGTGTAGCCCCTTCCAACCACCTATAGAATATGAGGGTAGATCCAAGCATACGTGAAAGCCTCCGGTCCGCTTCACCTCCTTCTTTTCCCCACCACTTCCAGATTCTAGGTCACTGTCATCGTCAGACTTGACCTTCTTTGCGCTCTTCTGTTTCTTCTTCGCGGCCTTGTCCTTCTTCTTGACTACCGGCGCTCGCTTTTTAGTATTCCCTCCTCTCGTCGATCGCGCGCGCATTCGAGCATTCTCCTCCGCCTGTAGCCGCGCCGCGAAAGCCGCATCATCCTCCTCCACCGATCTGCTGTTCTTTTTGTGTTTCTTTTTGGGTGGGCTAGGCTCCACCTCGGAGAGTTCAGATTCTTCCTCAGTTTTCGCGCGCTTCTGAGGCGAAGACTGAGTGGAGGCACTACCCGGTTCGGAAGAGTCGCGAGCGGTAGTACTCTTAACACCATTTGTAGTAGACGGGTTGGCGGTAGAAGCCGGCTCCGCAGGCTCGGAGCCCTCAGTCTGGCCTTTCGAGTTCAGTTCATGATTGAACTTGTCGAAACGCGCCATGATCAATTGTGTGACTTGGTCCTGAAGTTGGAGGTTAGAAAATGGCTGAACAAGCTATCCCTAAGTATCCCATACTTTCTGCGGCGTAATATCGTAGGGCACCTGCGCCTGCAGGCCTTTGCGGATGCGCTTGGCTGATATGGTGTTGAGGTCACTTGTTGCCAATATGCCATCTATGATCGCAGAATATGAAGCTTCCACTTCTGGCGGTAGAGCTGAAATATATAGGTCAGTATAAATAAGACTGCTTCAGGGTACAGCGCGGGGGCCTTACCAGCCATGTTGGAGTGGTGAGTTGGTGGTCTGCGGGAAATGACAAGAAGGCTTGCGAGGAGGTCGAGAAGTCTGCTATGGGGGCTGGATACCTCTGTAGGCGGGAGCAAAAGTAGCGCTGCTTGAGCGACAGAGCTTTGTGGAG